CCGCCGCCAGCGCGGGATCTGCATCCTCAGCGGCAGCGGCACCGTCACCAATGTCAGTCTCCGGCAGCCCGCGACTGCCGGAGCCGTCGTCACGCTGCACGGGCGGTTCGAGATTCTCTCGCTCTCTGGCTCGTTCCTGCCGCCGCCGGCTCCGCCGGGGGCGACGAGTCTGACGATATACCTGGCCGGCGGTCAGGGGCAGGGGGTCGGAGGGAGCGTGGTGGGGGAGCTGACCGCGGCGGGGCCGGGGATTGTGATTGCGGCGTCGTTTACGAACGTGGCTTATGAGAGGCTGCCGTTGGAGGAGGAGGAGCAGCTTCAGATTCAGCCACCCGCTACGACGTCGTCTCAGGGCGTTTCGAATAACAACGCAAACCCTTTCCCTGACCCTTCTTCGGGGCTTCCTTTCTTCAATTTGCCGCTTAATATGCAGAATGTTCAGTTACCCGTGGAGGGTTGGGCGGGAAACAACGCACCTTCACGTCCTCCACCACCTTTTTGAGTCTTCTTTTCAACCACACTACTCAAGATGTTGATCCAGGGTTTATTGCAACTCCTTATATTATAAGGTCAGCAAATTCATCGATATAAAATTATATCATATATATGATGCTTCTTCTTCCTCTTCTTCTTCTTTTTAATTTTTTTCGTTGTTGTTAATTAATGGATATGGTGGTGATTATGTAGCGGGGTTCACTCTTGTAAGTCACTCATTGGATTCTGATTTCATCTCTTTCGGATTTTACCTATTTTCCTTGTCCATTATTATAATATGGAACACTGTATAACTTAATTAACTAGTAGCTTTGTTTTATATGTGTGCTACATTTCTTTTTCCTGTTTGAGGATTTGGGTAGCTTTTCTATTTACACTTTGCACTAGCTACATGTTTCAAGGAGCTGGTTGTCGTTAGACATGAAACAATAACTCGCGAGTCACAACTCCATAATTTACCAGCTAACCCTCAATGCCCCTCTCCTTTATTTCTGTGCATTTTTATGGTTTGTCTATTTTATGGTTTCTTTATTTTAAAGAGAATATGATACTACCCCTTTGCTGAGACAATTTCCCTCTCGCTTGGTTCACAAGGTTTCAGATAAATTTATAATTAATGTTTGTGTTTGGTATATATATGTCAGTATGTGGATATATAAAATGTATGCATATAAAACTAGGGATTCAGAATATATAATTAAAGGCTGCTACGTACGGTGCTAATTTTATATGTCAACTATTTATATACACAAACAAAAATAAATATTTGAAAAATGAAATACTTAAATGCTTAACTTCGTATTGTTTATATTTTCCATGGAAAGTACTAGTAATTAATAAATATGTATGTTTTTATGTCATGCATATGTTTCCTTATCATTTATTGTTTCTGGCCAAGTATGCAAGTCAAAATTGGTGGTTACCACCCTCTTCAGCATTAAGTTTAAGTATATTATGTTCTAGCTTCTAATCATTATTGCCTGAATAACTGTAACATTGAAAAGCTTTGATTAGATCAAGTGATGAATTAGAATTCCAGTTTTGTGTACTGCTAGTGCTAGCTAGTACTGTACTTTTTTGGTAAAATGTTTTATCTGGTTAATGAGATAAATAAAAAGGGTCATGCCGTCACTGCCTCTTCTTGGGGAATTTACACTAACCTAAAACTAACTCTTCGATCATCTAATGGTGATATGTGCACACTGAAAACCAACCACCACCTTGTATCTGTTGTCTTTTGGATCTAGAGAAAGGAAGTGATCAATTGGACCCAAACACAATGCATGGGGCGATAGTAACATTGGTCTCCACGTATTGAAACTCTTGCTCCCTTTATATTGGTTCATCTATTTTGCCTAACTGTGATTAAATCTATAAGCTTACATGCATATAAAATCGGTTATGGATTTTGATTATAATCTAAGCCAGAAAATCTCTTAATTTTTTAGGCCGGAATCACTTTAATCATTCCAAGTCATGACCTCATTTTTAATTAATTAGCATGTGGGGCTAATTAGAGTTGTGACACAATTATATTTATAGTCATATAATGTGGAGCAAATGATAAATAAGTGTAGGTTGGATAATAGGCTGCTTAGGTTTCCGGCGCGGACTAGATTTAAATATTGCAAAAACGTAGTGTCACTGCTGGCTTTTAATTATTCTCCACTTAATATGTATTTTATGCAAAGTACCTTGCGTTTCTGATCATGTGCTGACCTTGCACTTTCACAGTAGTGAAGCTGTAGTAGGCTTTTGATCAAAACAAATTCTATGGCGCTTCAGTGTCCTCCAAGAATTGCATTTGATTCTATAAAGCACTTAGCTTCAAGAATATACGTCCACCACACAAATCCGTATATAACTATAGCTAGATGACAACATATATACATATACACACGCGCACTACTGAATGCTGCAATTCTATATGTACGTTTGTGGAGTCTGCACTCGGGATATCGATATATAAACATTGAATTTTCCTCTGATTCGTGTGTTAGTTTGGCCATTAATTTGATGATGAGTTCCGTGACGACTTCGTTAATTAGTTATTGGAATTCTGCAATGAGCATGTGATGATAGGTGTCTGCTTGAAATCTATAAATGTCCTCGATTACTCTGCTTTCTCCAACTTGAACATTTTTAATTTAACTTGTAATTCTACATGCCTAAGTTATTGGATGATACCGAGATCTTTTAACTTGTGTATACAGTTTTAACCATGTATGGCAAACAAGTAGAGTTTTATGCCATGTGAAGTTATGCTCTCTTTGATGCATAATGGAGTTATCTTTAACTATAAGAATAATCTCTTTCATGTTATTACAGGCTAATTTGTTGAATTTGATAAAGATTAAATCTTGTTCTAGTTTCTTTTTGGTAGGTATGTTCTTAGTTTTTTTCAGCTAGTTAAGTTCAATGGTTCTTTCTATTTTAGCTTGTAAAATAATAGTGCATGCTTTTTATTTTTTTTATTTTTTATTGGTGTATATATCACTACTACAAAAGATATGTTGCTAAACACTTTGACTAACAATTTTAGATGCTTAAGTTATGAAATAATAATAAGTTTTTAATATAGATAATATTCTCACTTATACTTTATGGTCTGCTAGTCTTTTAAAGTTGAAAAAATCTTAAGTTAATCACAATTAAAATTAAATCAAATATTAAAAATCATTTATTTTAAACTTTACTTCATAATTATATATACTTTTTATGTATTATTTTTTTATGTGAAACTTTAACTTTAAAAAATAGTTAGAGATTGAAGAAATATATTTTTTATGTTTTATTTTTTTATTCAATAAAATATTTTAATTTAAAAAATAATTAAAATAATAATAATATTGAAATTAAAAAAAATTACTTTATCTATAGTGACATTTTTTAGAAAAAAAACATTGTTACAATAACCTATTAATTTAATCTATAATAACATTTTGATAATAAATGTTGTTAAAGAAGTTAAATGCTAATGTGTATCTTATAAATTTATTTAGTATTTTTTTCCTTCTTGATAGCAAGTAAAGAAGTTACAAATGATATATGTATTAACTTCGATGTGTAAGGGTTAGGTTAGAGTATTTCTTATTTTTATTTAAAAACAATAGTGTAGCTATATTACCAAATTAATATCATTTGCATTCTACTGAATATTTAAAACGATGGTAAACTTATTTGTTTGGTGCTCTAAAATGCATGGTAAACGTTGAAAGCGATCTTATAAAAGTTATTGCTCCATACTAAATATTATCCATGAATTGCTAATACTGATATATAAATTAGAATTCAAGCTTAATTACAATTTTTATCTTTTCAAGTTAGATTATGCGCAATTTGATTTTTAAGTTTTTTTTAATTGATGTTTACCAAGTCCCTTTATTTTAAAAATTGAACAAAATTAATTCTTCTATCAAATTTATTTTACATAACATTCTGATTTTTTAATTTTTTATTATAAACCTTCTCATATATATTGAATCAATTAAATTGTGTTTAAGATTCTTTTACTTAACTCATCAATCAAGATATCAAATTTCATCGAAAAAAGTCTTTTCCTCTTCAAATGATAATTCCACTAAATCTTTTGATTCTAAATTTAAAAATAATTGTATATCTTAAAATTTCATAAATATCCAAATATTTAGATAGAAAATAATAATTTAAAATTTTTATAAATAAAAAATTCACAAAAGAACTATATTTGCTTGAAGTAAAAAAAAAAATAGAAACCTAATTAGCTTAAAAAAAACTCAAAATCAAAAAGTGCAAGGATTTTTAATGCCTTAACCGATAGTCGCTAAAGAATTGAACTCATGATAACATACTTTAAGAAGCTAGCTAGCTATCTACCAACTATAATAGATCTTATTAGTAAAAAGAAATGTATTCTGAATTACAGAAACAATTAATCTTGATATTTAATTATCTTATGATGTATTTCATGACATGTATGTCTTAATAAAAAAAAGTAATACAATTGTATATAACCACTAGGTCACTATTGGTATGGATTAAAGCAGATATATAAAAAAAATTAAATTCAATTATTATCGTGGTTGTAAATTTTTTATTAATAAAAAAATACAAAATTGTTCACCATATAATCACACACCAGCTTACTTACTAATCCTAACAAATTAAATTGTGGAGCCATTATGTTAAAACCTTAATTAAATTAATAATCTTGGCAATAATTAATGATAATGACAAAAACATAGTTGCCTTTCGTAGAGAAAATAATAATTCAAGTTACATGAAATATACAAATAAAAGAATAAGAATAAGGCAGGTGTTATTTTACTGGCGAAAAAGGAGTGTTATACTATTAGATTGGTTTGGAAAGTATGTGTGGAGAACTTATGAGTTATGTATCTTGTTTTGAGGAGTTTTAGAAAATTAATTTCTACAAAAATAGTATTATAAGAGTAAATGTTTATTATTCATGTCTAATTTAGCTGCAGAATTGATCAACTGCAAGGTTGGTACAATTCTTACTCGATTTCTTGGTCTTCCAATAGGTGGTAGTAATCCTAATATGTCTTGATGGAAGTTGGTTAATGATTCATTGTATCTCAGACACTTTTCTCTCGGAGAAATGAGCGTTTATTTAATTTTGTTTTTTGGGAGGCCAAACATTAATTAACTTGGCGTTGAATAATGCCCCTGTTTATCATTTATCTTTTCTTAAAATACCAAAGAAAGTTTTTGAATCATTTAAATTCAAACGAGTTTTTCTTGAGGTGGAACATTGAGGGGTAAAAAGGATCTCCTAGGTTAAATGGCAGGGTGTGTGTGCAATCCAAAGTATAAAAAGAGAGTTTGCGAAAATGTGTGTAACCCTAACTTGAGGTAGAGATTGTTGGGGGATATAAGGAGACTCTTTGGAGTAAAAGTTTTGAAGTTAGATACGATGATTCTATATAGTGTTCTCTATATCTGAATGGCAGTTCCTTTAGAAAAATGAACCATCCTCTTAGTGAAGGAAATGTGCTATATAAATAAAGGCCTCAATTTGATTGGTTTATATAATGGTTAAAGAAAAGAATAAGTAACCAAAGCTCAAGTTAATTAATTTGTTTTGGGTGGATATGTTTAGATAGGATGAGTCTAAAACAATATTGCTTATAACAGTTGTAAATAAAGTGTAAGAGGGTGGAATTGTATCTTAATAGGTGTAAATAAAGTGTATAGAGTCCTCAACATACATTAATGATAATTGCTAACGTACGTGACACTTTACTTTGGTCATGTCAGTATTTTTGTTAAATATTGGATGTTAAACTATAATAGAAAAAAATTACAATTAAATAGTGGGAGGTTAAATTTATGGGGCAAATGAGAAGAC